ATAATAATGTACAGGGTGTGCCAAAAAGTTCGCAACAAACGTTAAGTTTAGCATCTTAAAAGTTGTCATTTTTTGCCATTATTTGCATAACTGTGTAGAAATAATATTATATTAGGAGCTATGTTTATTAAGTTTGCTTTGTTTTATCTAATTCTAATGAAAAAAAAATATAAAAAATATTATTTGCTGGCTAAGGCTAATCTGGACTTGACCTACTTTGTTTACGCGGAATAGGAACCGCGGTTCTCGGCCATATCATTGTCAATGACCTATCGATTTGGCGAGTGTCTAAATCGACTCTTACTTACGAGATATTCGTACTCATCCGGCTTCGAACCGGCGTGAATGAGCAATGTATTAATAGATTTTACACTCTTGCCATGGAACAACAGCACGACAGAGTTTCCATGTCCCGTTGATTTTTTGGGTTATTGGGTCCTGTAGCTTTTCCGCGTAAACTTTTTGGTGCACCATGTGTTTATATTTTTAAATTTGGTATGACACACTGCACTAAATGATTTCGCTTCTTACACACGCTCTTTGTGGTTATGGTAGATGTCTAGATGGAGCTCCTCAAGTTCGCTATCCAGAGAAGTAGCTTCATACATGCTTAAAAAAAATGTTCACCGCTAAAAAAATATCCAAAAAGAACCGTCAAGATTCATTTTTTCGGTAGGTAGGTCATATCTCCTCTCTTTTTTTATTAATCCACGAATCTTGCTGTTTTGAATTTTATTTTAAATGGATTTGATCATTAAGTGGTAGATCGTTCCGTTTGATCGAAAAAAAAACGGCGTCAAAGACAGCTGGTGAATGACAATCATGATATTTTTGGCGAGGTCAATCTCTAGACGTCATTTACTAAAAAATGGCATAAAACTTGTCAAAAATTAACACTGATTATAGAAAGATTTAACGTTAAACGATAGGACATTTCCAGACACAAATCTATTTTCAAAAAAATATTTTTTCTCGAATTTTAAACTACACCATTTAAAAATCATTTTACACAATTAAACGAGACGGGTGGCCGTCTGAAAACTCTGTCGTACTGTTAGCAATTAAAGTCGATTTAGACACTCGCCAAGTCGGTAGGCCATTGATCATAATATGTCCGAGGACCGCGGTTCGGATTCCGCGTAAACAAAGTAGGTCCTGTTCAGATTTGGCCTGGCAGCGAAAAGGAGACGTTAATTTAAAACAAGTTTAAAACCTTCTTAAAGCCACCTTGCAGTAAGCGCCATTAAAAAATAAAGAACCTTGACCTCGCCAAAATTATCATCGATTATCATTCTCCAACTGTCTTCGACGCCGTTTTTTTTATCGTATGGTATATGGAGGGACAATAACTCTGTACTAATCGAATATTTATTCGATTAGTACAGGGTGTTTTTACATGGGTGAAAATTTAATGTTCTTATATATGGAATATTATAAAAAATGTTCTTCGCCTACCGTGACGTGTTTTTATGTGATCGTGTATACACATTAGTAAACAAAGAAATATGAGTGTATATGGTTCTCTCTTAAATGGTCAGGTCTATTAAAAACTCCGATATGGAGAGGTAGGGAGAATGAGTTTCGACGACTGCGCATCCAAAAATTTTCTTATAGCAATCACCTGTCATGTTCGCGCTTAGGTCTACAGGGGAGATCAATAAGTAATAATAACAGAGCTGATAACTTCTAATTTGTTTGAAAATATTTGCCTCTTTTGTCGTATATTTATTGCGAATAGCTAGGTTTTGTGAGATTAGGTTGGTATGTGTTGGAATTGTTTGTGTTTTTTTTTAACTTATAGACTGATATAAACAGCTTTTATATTCATCTGAATTGTTTTTAGTATTTTATGTTTACTAATTTAATAATTATTATTATATTTGGTTATTATTTCCAATCATGGCTTGGTTTGTGTTGTCCTTTAAAATTGTAAGAATAATGGTATGTTAGAAAAATATTAGAATTAGAAAATAATATATCAAATAAGAAATTCTAATTTCTAAACGAACAAACAGCCTAATAAAATAAGAAATATACATTTCTTCATCGTCTTGATAAATACTACACTATTCAATGGTAACATACTATATGTTATATATTATGGTAGCCTAATTAATATTACGCCATATTTTATGAGTAACTAAAGATGACCGTCATGAAACCTATAATCACTATTACTTTCTGACCTCCCCCTGTAGACATGATTTGAAAATATGTGCACGTTCATGCTCATTCTTTCTAGCTCTGATATCTGTAAAAATTATAGAAAAAGGGAACTAATATATTTTAGGCTATTTTATACTAACTAATAATAATTTAATTTAGTACAAATGCGTTTTTACAGGGAATATAACTTAATTGAAAAAATAATGTTTTGGTGTTTGTAGACTAAGAATTAATATTTAAATTATATTCCTAATTTTTTTTTGTTTAATTTTTATTTTTTTATTTCAGCAACATTAACAATTAACACGACTTCGAGGACATTTAGGATAATCAATTTTTTAATATGGAACCTTCCGCGGTAATGGAGAATATACTTATATAATATAAATCGCAACATTTGTGATTAATTTGTTTTTTATATGTGATTATTGCAAATTTTATTAATTATAAATATTGTAAAGATACTAGCTGAAAGTGTATATTGTATTGAATAAGGGTATATAATGTTAAATTAAACCAATTTAAGTTTTTCTGCTGTTTTTTTTCCATACAAGTTTTAATAAACCCCTAAAATTTCGTTTTTAATAAAAGTTGCAAGAAAATTTTTAAATCCTTAATAAATTACTCATGTAAATAATAAAAAAACACGGATTGATTTTAAAATAAAATTTATTTAAGGTATATACCGATATTTTATATACATTATAAAGTCTACAAGTAATATCTCAGGTATGGCATCGTAATATACAAATTAAAAAGTCAACTAATTCAAAGTATATTGCCAAAAAATATATATAATTAGGGAAAACAATATCAACAGCCTTGAAATAATAGTAAAATATTCTGCTGTTTGATAAAGGAAACTCTAAGGAAAAATTTAATATTAAACTTTATACAGGGTGTGACAAAATCTTCGTAACAAATGTGATTTTTTAATATTAAGTTAATACGAAACAAATATCTCAACTGTTGCGAACTTTTTCTCACACCTTGTATAATCATTTTAAATGAATGATGCTCTCTACTATTTTTAAGCTTCCTTTATTAAAGCAAAAAAGAAATTAAAAAAAAATCAATAACGTTTTTTTGGATAGGCTCTCAGGAACAAATAAATGTTACATTTTTATGTTAATAAAATAAATATCAGTCAATAATAGTTTTTAACTGTCCCTTAAATACCTAAAATAAACTGAAAGTTTCCTATGTTTGATATTAGTAACGTCAGAACAATTAAAAGAAACACACTAAACTTTTTTAAGACGATGAAAGAAACGCTGAAAACCAAAAGCTGGTATAAATGTACGAAAGAAAAGTCTTTGGTTTTCGAAAAAATCTAAAATTAAAAAATCCATCCAACTACAACATTTCCATTGAAAACACCGATCTAAAGAAAAACCAGCTCTGATTCTTATGTAAAATGACCTGAATCCAAATATAGCTCCAGTTATCGCTTTTCAAATAAGTCCAAAATAATAAAGATATTTTACTTTGAAAATTTCTAAAAAAAATGATTTTTTGCTTTAATTCTGACAGCCGCTGGATCTTTTCTGGGTTTTCTTTCTTGTAAATTTAATCTATTATCTATGTTTATGGGATCGAAATATCTAAAAATATTTGCGCTTACTCACCCTGTAAAAGTATATAAAAACTATAATAAATTTTGCGAGAAAGTTTTACTCCCGGTCAGAAAAATGTTGCCCACGATCCTTTGACCCTGAAGGAAAATATTTACTTTTATATAATTTTTTTTTGCATAAAATATTCTGGCGATGGAATTTTCTGCAGAAACGTCGGCAAATATCAAAGTGACTATATACAGGGTGGTCCGAATTGTATTCCGGAAACTTCGGCAGCATATTCTGCAGATAAAAATAAGTAAAAAAGTTCTTATAAATGTATGTCCTACAATGCTTAGTTTCGGAGATACAGAGTGTAGAAATTACATTTTTATTTCGATTTTTTCCAAATAATTTCTGACGTAATGTCAATATTTGGATGATATTTGGTGTCTGGGAGTTTTTTGATGTGATAAATTTGATTTTGATGTCGATATTACTCCTACTTGTAGAGGGCGCCATCTACTGATTTTTAACTGGTTTGAAGAGTAATAACTTTTTGTTCGTACCTGTATAAAACTAAGTAAAAAAACATACATTTACGACGTTTTTAACGTAAAAAAGGCCTCTTAATAAAAATCGCCACGAGTAATGGTTCTCGAGATATTTGAAATCGAAATTATCAATTCCTGTCATCATTGACATAAATTTAAACATGTTGACTAAATAGTTAAAAAACTGAAATCATAAATTTGAAATGTTTTTATGTCAAATCATCATCAATCATTATTTTTTCGAAGAAAATTTCATGATTAATTTAAAAAAAAAATTCCCAAATTTATCATTTCAGTCAAATAACTATCTACTCAACATGTTTATTTTTTTTGTCGATAATGACATGTATTGACTATTTCCATTCTGAATATCTCGAGAAGGGTTGCTCGTAACGATTTTTACCAAGAGACATTTTTTACGTAGAAAATTACGAAAATGTATATTTTTTCACTCAGTAGTATACAGGTACGGACAATTATCTCGAGAACCATTACTCGTGGCGATTTTTATTAAGAGACCTTTTTTACGTTAAAAACGTCGTAAATGTATGTTTTTTTACTTAGTAGTTTTATACAGGTACGAACAAAAAGTTATTACTCTTCAAACCAGTTAAAAATCAGTAGATGGCGCCCTCTACAAGTAGGAATAATATTGATATCAAAATCAAATTTATCATATCAAAAAACTCCCAGACACCAAATATCATCCGAATATTGACGTTACTTC